CACTTGAGCTCGCCTGCGGCCGCGCTCGCCCGCGGCAGCCCGCAGCCGCTGGCCGCCGAGCTGCCGCGTCCGCTGCGCCCGTACGCGCCCCAAGCTCTCCGTCCCCCGGCGCACTCCTCTTCCACGGCGGCAGGACCTCAGCGACGGCGAGACGAGGCCGGCCGGCGGGAGTGCCACCGCGCCGTGTGCTCCTCGGCGCCTGCGGGTGCCTCGTGGTGGTGTGTGTGTGTGTGTGTGGTGGGCCAGGAAAGAAAAGGAGGAGAGAGAGGGTGGGTGATTGGGTGTGTGGGCCACTTTTGTGCCAATGACAGGCGGGCCAGGGTCACATGCAAAAGGACATGCCCGAACGAGGACGACGCAGAGAGCGTCCGCTCGTGTCCGTTCCAGATGCAAATCCGGCCCAACCTTGCTCCCAGGATGGGGTGAGACGGACCAGAAACAGACACTTTTTACGGATAGGGTTGCGCGTTGGGTCGTCTCATTTGTCCGTTTAACCCTAAACGGACAGACCCGGACGTTTTGGGGTCACGCGGTGGAGGTGGCCTAACTTGCTTGTCGACCTGTGGCGGCAGCACAGGGTGACGTCGAGTCGTCGACTAGGTGGTCCAATACTTCAATCACTCTTAGGTTTTACTCCCCTGTTCCTAAAAAGTATAAGATGTTTTTTTTTCGAACCTGATTCTGGCTCTGTATAGGAAAAAAAAACAAAGCTCCCGTGATCGCCTGGTGATCTGGCGGCGACGGAGATAGAGAAAGGGGAGTAATGGAGACGGGGAATCCGGCGGAGGCCCCGGCGGCGCGTGACCCCAACGGGAGGGGGCGGGCAACAACGGCGTCCCAGGCAGAGTCAACGGAGCCTCGCGTCCTCAGTAGGGCGGGGATCTCCGTCGGGGGCCCGGTGGGCAATCTCGATTGGGAAGAAATCAAGGCCACGTCAAGGCGGATCCTCCGGCAATCTCTAAACCGGAAACGATGCTGGAAGCGGATGAAGAGGAGGGCGGAGGAGATGATGCGCATGAAGCCAGAGAGGAGCTCCACGGATCTGGCGGGGAGTGTGAAAGCCAGCGGCGACAACGGCGACATATCGGAGGTACTTCCATATAATAGGGACATAGTTTCTCAGGATTTGACCCCGTTTGGGGTAGGGGTCCGATTTTGGTTGCTACTAGTATGGAAACTACTGTGATTGCATTGGATTACAGAGAGATTCTTTCTCTGAGAGATATAAAAGAGAAAGAGGGAAATCAGGGGATGAACGTTATCTGTATTTTAAAGGAAAAAAGAGAAATTAGTGCCTCTTTATTTTGGAAACTGCCCATTTATGATCTTTTATTTTTTGATAAATGCACAATTCTCATCATGCTGGTGGCCTATTTGGGTGAGGGGAGGAACTATATCTACAGCAGAGGGGGGGGGGGGCCTCGAGTCATCAGCTCTCCATACACAGCAAGCTTTTCTGTTTTCCTTTTTGAGCTCCTTCCCTGTACGAGTTGATTTAGTGAGTAAGGGAGAGATAGAGATGGAGAGAAAGGGGGAGGCGGAGAGGGAGGTGGGTCAGGGATCGGGGAGTGTGCCGGCGTCCATGGGGAGCGGTTCTCTGACTAGTTCACCTGGGGGCGAGAAGATGAAGGTGTCCAGGCAGCCTTGTGGGGATGGCTCACCACTGGTCATCGATTTGGAGGCTGCCAGGAGGGCTGTGAGGGGTTTCTTGGTGGTGGGCCGATTTCTGTTGCCTTTCCAAGTTCACCCGCAGGTCCTAGTTGATGACCTTCGTGCTTCGTCGGCTTGGAGGCTGCAAGGCGAGGTCACCGTCCAGGAGGTGGACAGCGACGACGGGAGGTTCATCCTGAACTTCTCCGCCGACGTGGACAAACGCTTTGTGTTGAAGGCACAACCGTGGCACCATAAGCGGGATGGGATCATCTTCGCCGAGTTCGACGGCAAGGGTAACCCGGCGGAGGTGGATCTTGGAACCATGGCTATTTGGGCCCAGGTTCGTGATCTACCGTTTGACCTTAAAACTGAAGATGTGGGTTCGTCTCTAGGAGGCCAAATTGGGGAGGTGATAACCATCTCACACCAGAACCACATGATAGTAGAAAAGTTTTTGCGTGTTCGTGTGAAAGTCCCGCTACACGAGCCAATTAAGAGTAGAATAGAATTCACTCCTCTAGGCAGCAAAGAAAAACGTTACTTTGATGTTCGTTATGAAAAGTTGCCATCATATTGTGAGTGTTGTGGGCTTGTAGGCCATATGTCGGAAAGGTTCTGTAGGATTCCTAAAGAGAATAGAGTAGTTGTTGTTGCAAAAAACCTCAGTGTAGAGGCCTACTGGAAGGGAAATACAGCTAGTAGAAGAGCTCTTGTGTACTCGGGCTATAGTAGAAAAAACATCTCAAAGGCTACTGAAGGTATGGTGGTCAAAGTCACCAAAGCTGTGAGTGATCTTACTGTGAAAGAGAAAGGTGCTGCATCGTCTATTCTGGCGACTGGACGTCTAGTCCAGGGAGGCCACTTGCTCGGTCAGGAGGACCGGGGGCAAGTACCATCTCTGCCGGTGCCCGTAGGAGCTGCCTCGGGTCAGGTGGACCTGGAGCGCGGGCCACTCGAGCGCGCTAGCCTTGGCCAGGAGGGCCAAGGACTGGCGGCCAAAAGGGCGCCCAACAAGGGGGCGCTGCAGGTCGGCCAGGAGGGCTGTCTCCCTGTAGCGTCCCAACACTCCATGCGGGGTGATGATCATGGTCAGGAGGACCAGAATGCATCAACATACACCCCTGCACCCCCTACTAGCGAAGGCCAGGAGGGCCAAGCGCTGGTGGGGGGAGCGGCTCCCACCAAGGCTGCTGTACCTGGCCAGGCGGGCCAGGACATGTTGCATCAGGGGAATAGTACTTCCCCCATCAGGTCTGTTGCGGCTATGGCGGCATACCAGCCTAACCCGGTCGGCCAGGAGAGTAGGACGGCTCTGCAATGGGGTGATCAACTCCTCTTTCGCCCGGGGGTGCTGGAGGCGCTGTCGGGGGCTGTTGCTGCAAGACTTGCTACAAAAAATACCACTGACACCCCTATTTACACTTTCAATGCTACAAAGAAATCCATGCAGGGAAAGGCAAAAGAAAAGGGCAGGAAAGGAAAGAAGGGAGGAGGAGTTGGGAGTTCAGAGGGAGCACGCAAGAACATTATAGGCAAAAAAAAAGAAGCCTCTATGAAGCTCCAGCAGCTGGTAGTGAGCTAGATTTCTCTTTTGAAAAAACCATGGATAGCTATGAGCGTATTCTGTATGGGGACATAAATGTTTCCTCTAAGCATGTATGTATGGGTAGAGTGGAAGCTGTGAGAGATGGGAATGGGGTGGTTACACATGTATCAAAAG